AATTACACCCAAAACCCTTCTCAAAACGTTCACCCATAAATTAGTTTCACGTTGGTTCTGCTTTTGGGATTCGTCACTTATTGTCTTCCCTTCTTTCCATCTAAGATATAGAGCAGATGCTTCAATATGGAGCAATGAGTTTTCATGTTTCTTTATCTTAGCTAGCAATCGCTTTTTTGAGCTCTGACTCCATCTACCCATGCACTTTGCAACCCAAAACGTGGATGATTTCGATTTTCAATTTTCACAGTATGGTTTTGCTAATATTGGTGAATAACAAAGCCATGATCTCGGGCACATTTTGTTCTTGCTGTGGAGTTGATAATATGATGTGCTGAAGTTTGTTGTTATGTTACCTTGTTCGTCTTCCACTGTAAATGGTCCATCAGGTTTACATGGGCCATGACTAAGAATAAGTCTCTTTAAATCCCCTTCTTCAATTGAGGATGGGAAGTGCCTTCTGTCAGTAGGGTATTCATTGGCCAGATGGAAAAGTCCTAATTGATCATTAGAAGTTTCAGCATTTTTCTTCATGCTCCCACTGTCTACACCTTCATTTGATGTACTTAATTGAGCTTCATCAGCCAAGGAAGATGTTGATGGAGTATCTTCAGCATCACTTTCAACATTTTCAGCTTTTTCAAAGAATGAGGCTATACGAGCTGTATTTTGGTAGCTATTTGAATACTTCTTCTCTTTTCCGCCCTTTTTGCAGATCCTGATTTATACTTTCGTTTCATTTTTTATTTCTCTAAAACAATTTATAAACCAATAACCATAACTGTACATCAGTACATGCCGGCAACATGCAGTTGTCTCGATTCTATCATGATTATTTCTGCGATCTGATCTGTTTCTGCCGATTTGTTATTTGTTAAATAAGACACTGGAAATTTATCAATAGCATATGTTTTAAATCAACGTGTAAATCTGTTTTGGAAGTTGAGGGCATTGTTTTATACAATACTAACACGCGACACCTCCAAACCGTCGCATGCACGTACGACTGTCCAGCAAGTGCCCATAATTTATGGGTTTTATGGGCCATAAAAATCATAAATGGCTTGTATATACCGTTGAGATTATGGCTAATACTATTAACAACATTTGTGAACATGGCAAGGGTGCACTCTCACTGTGGCACTGTACTGCTGTAGGTAGAGTCAAGGCAGCACTTGAACTTCCCTTGCGAACGTAACTTCCAGTATTTTTTTTTTTTTTATAATTGTATGAAGAATTGATTTATATTCACGCTAATAAATTATTACTGCTTATACAAGAAAGGTTTATATGCTAATTTTGGCCTAAGCAAAAACGATATGCATGACGGATTACAAAGGATTACATCTCAATATCATAAATAATTTATATTACCTTTTTTGATATTTTGTCGACGGCGCCATCGCTTGCAAGAAGGGACTACAAACCGTTAATTCAGCGGTACTAGTACGAAATGCGAAATACTTTATTTTATCGGCGTCGGAAGGCGTATAAAGCTTAAGATCTTTGACTTTGCACGTTTTTGTTTGACTTGCAAGCTACGCAGCATTGTTTATTTGTTTTTCGCAAAATTATAACATAATCACATTAATAAGCAACTCCACAACAGGTAGCTGCCTATCTGTCTGTTTTTCGTAATTCAATTCCCCAGAAATGTGCTATCAATTTTTTTATGGTCATTTTTGTCGCCCCCCCCGTCACTGGACACCCTGACACCCTCCCGTTACGCCACTGACCGCGCGTAAGAAGGGCTCTGGGTACGAGAATGGTAAATCTATGCAAAGTTTATAGCGTTTCCAAATAACAACAATTTAGTGACATATCATAAAATTTTAAAAATAGGTAAACCAGATGCAGAGCAGAATGTGAAATGAAAGTACGCCCAAGGCCAAGCCCGAGAGAACAAGAACAATCATACGTTTTTATTGCTTGATTTCCTGACTTGTCTGTTGCTATAAAAATCTGTTTTGCATATTCTTATAATTTAAAAGCAAACATAAATGAATTTGGCAAGCATTTTGAAGTATATATGATTCTAAAAGTTGTCGGTACAAACACTCACTCCTTGCAATCGAAGTGTAAAGTGCGGAAGTGAAAGCATGTAATATAATACTTTTCCCATACCCCCTTAGGCAATCAGGGTCTTTCCTCCACAAGAGAAAAGCGCCTGGGAACGAGGTTTTTTAGATGCAAATTTAGATGGCGACCGGATGGCGACAGTTGTTCTTGTTCGAAATCACGAATGTGAATGGAAAAACTGCTGACGCCATCACTCGCCATCTATAACGACGTGGACAACGCGGACACGAAATTCACTAAAGTTAAAAAAATTTATTACGAGAATAATTAATAATTATTGAATTCGGTTTTCGCGTGATATCGAACGTTATCAAGGCCGAGGTTGTGTTATAACATTCTTAATGCTGCCTTAGTTTAACTGCACGTTAATAGATCAGGAGGGTTGAAGAGAAATATTTTAACGAGAGGTGCGGTTACGAAGTTCAAAAAATTCAAATTTTAACGGCTTGGTTCCACAGCAGATCGACTCACGAGTTCGTAGAAAGTACTTTAGTTTACATTAAGTTGTTTTAATTCTAAAAGGAAAGGCGAGGGAAAGGATTTTTCAAGTTCCACGGCTTTAGAAGCGTTTGTCAATATTTTATCGGCGAGTTTTGTTGAAATTTAGGGTCTTGCCCAAGTTCGCCCGGCGTCACACTAGCTACCTACCTTTGCGTTATTGATAGTGGGTAATATTAGATGATAAACAATATAGGCCGGGTTTAACGAAATGGCCTGAAAATCGACGAGCTCGAGAGTGAAGTAAATGACACAGTAAACAAGTACTGTAAGTCCACCAATATTTTGAATCAGAGCGTATTTAGACATTATTTTTTATCAATATTTTACAATATATAAAGTATTATATCGCATTCTCATGATGTTTTTATATATCATTACATCAAACTAAAACCACTCCCAAATCACACATAATATATAAAGGAAACTAAGTAAGTTATACTTTATAATTTAAAGTACATGTTAAATGCAAAATATAATAAAATTAAAATATAAATATAAATAAATACCCACACAGAGCCTGGGTTTTAACTGCATGATCTATTTAGTCCAACAAATACATATTCTTACAATTTCTGCTAATCTCATTAATGCATGATTGGATGTTCGATCGCAGCACTGCTGTTATAAGCACCTGAATTGCATTTTGGTCCTGCTATTTCGAATTAAAGTAATGAACAAGCTATTTTTCTGTGGTTAACAAATAAATGTTGTGCAAAACGTATGAATGAACACATTTAATACATCAAAATTAAAAATGTACCTTGATGGTGAGCTTTGTTTGTCATGTTACCAACCCTCCAATTAAGAACTTGTAAGATAGAAGCTTTGTGGGGAAGCTGCATGCTGGTTGTCTTGGCCCCATTCAGGTTTCCTGTATATTGCAGGTTTTTCCTGACCTCCCTGACTATCTAGCTTTAGCCGGTATAAATTTCCAGGTGACTATTGATTTTCCTGCATTCTGATTAGTCAAGATTCACTGTTTCTGAAGTGATAGTCACTGGTCAGTGACTATAGCTTTTTGCTTTTTTTTTCAAAATGTCCGCTTGTTTTGCCGTAGTAACAGAAGAAGAAATTGCCCAAATTAAAGAAGATAGCATTCCGAAAAAAACCACCAAACAAGCTACAAAATATAGTTTAAGGTAAAATATTAATAGGCCGTATTCTCTGTCTTAAAAAATCGCTCGAAAAAAAATTGTTGTCCAACCTCGGGCACTAATTTTAATTTACATAATACTGTAGATTTTTGTACGCTAAATTCGATTTCAGTTGTTGTCACGCGTACTTACCTGAAGTTTTTTAGAATTTCGTGATCAAACTTCAAGAAATTTCACTCTTTGGAATTCACGTATCCGCCATTTTTCTGCTGAATACTTCATGTAATATTAAACTATTATGCTAGTTTCAGTCCCTCGACATGGTTACTCATGCTCGACTTTTCGCGCAAAAAAACAACAATTGAAATCAGCGTTGTAGAGAAAAAACCCATAAAAATCCTACAAGCTGAAGAGCTTGGTGAGAATCAGTTCTCTGAATTATGCCAAAACAACTTTATATTTACTGACAATCCAGATGTTTTCACGAAAATCAAGAAAAATAAGTTGCAAACTTTTCTCTCTAAGAAACTGACAGTGAAGGGCAGCCAAGGCCGCCAAGTATCAATGAAGACAAGCAGAGATCTCTTTGCTAGATTGCTGATTTTGTCAAAAACTCGCGAAATCAACCTGAAAGAGTTGCTCTCGTATAGCCTGAGTGATTATCCGCTTTCGTTGGCAACTGTTAATGGAGCCAGTCTAGTGAAGACAGCAAAAGCCAAAATGTTCGAAATTTTAGAAGGTATGGCTCTTAACAGTGGCGGAAATTCACTTTTCCCGGGGGGGGGGCGAAGCCTTCTAAATTTCCGACAAAACTTTCAAAGTTTTTAGCCCTTTTATAGGTCAAAATTTCCGAAAATTCGTCATTTTCCACGAAGGGGGGGGGGGGGCGCGACCGCCCCACCGAGATTTCCACCACTGGCTCTTAATCCAGTTATATATATGCCGAAGACATAGGAGGACGTAATGCACTTATCATCGACGCAATGGCTGTTATACAAATGATGAACGGCAAGTGCCAAGTGGAAAACATTTGCAGAGTTTGCAAATTCCGTATTTAGCCATTTGGTGAAGCTAGCACTACAATGGAAAGCTACCAGACTAGATTTTGTCGCTGGTAGATACCCTGAAGTAAGCATAAAAAATGCATAGCGAAGAAGGAGGGCGTCGGAAGGTGTCCAGAGAGTTCAGATACTTAGCAAGGACCAAAGCGTCCCCAAACAGTGGAAGAAATATATGAGCTGTGGAAAAAATAAAGAATCGTTGATCGCATTTCTGTGTGATTATTGGCGTACGTATAAGTCCTCGCGTCTGTGCTACATAGAATGCCTGTACATCACGTCAAAGTGTAAATGCCACTTGCTAACGACTGGATCTTCCCCGAATGATTGTGTCCTACATCATGAAGTTCCTGAACTTCAATGTGATCACGAAGAAGCCGATACACGTTTACTTCTTCATTCAAATCATGCAGCCAAAACTCATGACACCATCATTGCTAGAACCCCGGACACAGATGTGTTTTTGCTTTGTATTGCCATGCGCAGGACGATTGGCAAGAAATTACTCGTGATGGTAGGGACAGGTAACAGATTTCGAATTACAGATACTTCAGCCATATCTGACGTACTTGGACAAGAGCTATGCTCTTGCTTGCTGGGATTTCATGCCGTTTCAGGTACACAGATTTTTTGTATATTGCATACGTTAGGTGTACGTGGTAAGGAATTACAAAAACTAAAAGAACGATTTTTTTATATTTTGATAGGTTGTGACTCCACAAGTGTCTTTTGCGGAAAAGGAAAAGCGAAGCCATGGAAGATACTTCAGGACAATAGAGACTTCGTTCAAAGTTTCTGCGATCTGGGAAAATCGTCCACTCTATCACAGGATCTTGTCATGTCGCTGAATGTATTTGTTTGTTTGCTGTACGGCGACAAATCTTCAAAGACTATAGATGAGTGCCGATAGTCTTTTCAAAGCAAAAATGTTCAGATGAGACTCTTCCTCCGAACTGTGATAGCCTGCTGAAACACATCGAGTGAGCAAATCTTCAAGCAGCTGCATGGAGTCGTTGTTTATACCCCCAGTCACAACTTTTCCCCCCAGTAGGTAATGGTTGGAGATTATCAGATGGCCAACTAGAGATTACCTGGATGACTCGTCCCTCTGCACCTGATTGACTTCGTGAGTATGTCAGTGGCGTAACGTTATATCAGGGGGCCCCCGGTTCAAAATTTTCGAAGGCCCCCTAGAAGAAGTGCCAAAGGCACGAGTCGAGCGCCGTATATGCACGAGTTTTCTAGGGGGTCCAGGCATGCTCACCCAGAAAATTTTTGAATCTAGACTCTCTAAAATGCAATTTCCTGGACTTTGGGGGAGAGATTTTACAGAATTCTGATGGTCAGAAAACGACATTGTAACATATCAGAGGCCCTGGCCAATGTTTTTGCTCTATCGCTTAAGCCTGGGGGCCCCCATTGGGGTTGGGGGCCCCCGGGTTCTCCCGGTCTAAGCCCATAGTAGTTACGCCACTGGAGTATGTAGATTGCAGGTGCAAGCGCTGTGGGACACAGCGCTGTAGTCCTGCCTAAACGGGGTTTAAAATGCACTGAATGTTGTCGTTGCGCGAATTGCCAAAACAAGTACGATGAAAACACAAACGCGAAGGAAATCAGTGATGGCAAATTATCTGATGCAGATTCTTCGAACAGTGTATGCGAAAGCGACTA